TTCTTCCTTCATCCTCCCCTTCTCTCATTCTACTTGAACATCCCCTTCCCCTGCAAGTACCATGCTTATTTTTTAGTTCTGGTTTTCATTATTAATGTTTGAATTGACATTCAATGGGGTGTCTCAATGTATGCCCAGTGTGGGTGTGCTTTACTTTGGTCTGTTCAATCCCTTAGAATATTCTCCTTTACTCCTTGACCTACCATCCCCCATTTTTCAAAAGTTTTCAATATACATTCTCAATTGTAGAACATATTTGTAGCAATGGAGCTACTCTATGGAACTCGAGGAAGGAGAGAAAGGAAAAGACAACAAAAGAGCATCAGTAATGTAGCATACCATAAGATATGAAGGTAGAGGATATGAGGATGTGTATTGAAAGCTCACTGTACATTTGATCAAACTGATTCTATCTGGTTTTATTCTCAGATGGGCTATCCCATGTACTGAACAGGGTCAAAGAATGTCCAGATTTAATTCTTACTTCAGAGAGAAAAATAAAACACTTTTAAAATATAATTTGAGCAGATTATATTACAGTATGTTCATTTTTAATGAATCCTTTTTATCAGGGTTACACAAGTGTTCATTAAGCAGCATATAACTGATGTGAGAAGACAGTCTGTCAAAATCACATAACAAACAGGGCCTAATAAAATGGTAATTAGCATATATCTTTACAGCAGAGGATGTTTAAAAGAGAAAAATAGTTACACAGATATTGAAATAAAGAAAAAGCAAAATGTCAAAAGTGGTTATCATTACCATGTTTAGAGAAAAACAGAAAATGAAGCAAAAATCAGATTATTGCATCCCAGAGAAGGATCTTAGTAGGATTAGTGCTTGGATTTACTGAAGGTTGAGACTTCCCCAGAGCTGGACTTGGGGAAGTAGAGGTACCACCCACAGATTTTCAGGACCAACATGGAAAAAAAAATCAAAATGGAGCAATGACAATCATTCTAGCTCTTCAAGGAGCAGAGTCCAAGCAATGCAGTGAGGTCTGACAGCCTAGTAGACAAGGGAATGCTATTCAACTACTGTCCGTATATTAAGGAGATGCAGTAAGTTAAGCAAACTTGGATGTGCATATTGACCATTGATTACCTCCCTTCAGGATGTCTTTTAACTTTTCCATTTAAATGGTCTTTTTATTATTGATATATCATTATATCAGTGAGTTGCTATACATTCTGGAGACAGCAGATGTCTCTGGAGTATAAATTGGAAACATGCTTCTGGCCTGTAGTTTGCCTATAAATATTTTATTGATTGTTCTCATTTTAATGAAGTTTATTTTTCTGACTTTAATGCTTTCTGGGATATAACTAAGAAACTTTTAGTTTCTGTGAATAGTTTTCATCCATTTTAGAAGACTTATAGTGCCAGATAGGACTTAGAGGTAAAAGTCTACTGTTTTCTTTATGGATATGTAGTATTCTAACATCAATTATATAAACATTTTTCCTTTCCCATTGGAATTACTTTGCTGAATTGTTAAAAATCAATAACTGCATGAATTAGTATCTGTTTCCAAGTCCTCTATTCCATTTGATGTATTTGGGTATCTTTAACACAAAAACAAACTGTCTTGATTATTATATCATTACATCAATTCTAAAAACAGTTAACATAGTCCTTTCTGTCATTGAAGGTTCCCTTAGAAAATAAATTCAAGGAACATGACAATATTGGCCATAAGAGAGGTGGTAACACAAGTCTACTAACTGACACGTATCATTTTCTATAAAAGTCACGCGACTCACAAAATCTTCATGAAAATACCAGGAAAATTTAAGGCTCTTCACTTGCCTTTTATCAGTACTGCTTCTAATTAGAATGTGCCTCTGTTACGAACTTTAAACACAACTTTACTCTGTAGAAATCTTTCATCTCGTTCTCAAACTGTGGATCAAAGAGTAACTACTACATTATTGTAGAAAATTGAAGAAACTTTTCCCTGGTCCATAGATCAAGAATAAGATTTAAGATATGTGATGACCCCTGATTCCCCAAAATCAAAATAGTAAAAATGTATGAATTACAAGTACTAAAGTATTGTGATCTTCCTTGAGTGTGTTACTAATACCAATGTCAATGAGAACTGTTGCCTTGAGGAAAGATGTGCAATTAATGGTTGATTACATTGTCATTGAGGAGAGTGTAAACAAGCAGCCTTTGTGAGCAGAGGTTTACACCAAATAGTATAGAACAGATCTGGTGGGACACCATGTCCTTCTATAGCAATGGACTACAATGCCACATAATGGTCAAGGTCCATTGAGGAAAACATAAAATATAAGACTTGAAGTCACTGTGTATGGGATGGTAGAGAGGGCAGGTAGCAGTGAGCTTAAGAGTAAAGGGAAGGAGAGAGATGGGTCCAATAAAGATTATGTGTTGAAGAATAAAAAGGTATAAAAAAATTTCCTTTTACTTCTGACTTCGTCAGCCTTCAACCGTAGTGCACTTGGTCATGGTCATTCCAAAACTAATCCCAAGCAATAATAGCATCCTGCTTAGAGCAAGTCTGTTAAACAAATTCAGTGTATATTCAAGGAACTTTCCCATGTTTATCTAAGAGGATCATTTTCTGTTACAGCCCCAAAAGTCCAAGTTTTCCCACTACTGGTAGGAAACATCCTACCCTAGTAAACTGTGAAAGTTGAATCCCATATGTTCCAATTTACTCTCATCTATGACAATGTCAGGAGAATTATAGTTCCTTTACCAATTTTTTTAACTGCTGTTAACATTACAAAAATAAAACAAACAAATCAAAGGGTAACTGTATATAATGCAGGCACATAGCCAGACCTGGTTATCCTTCATTTGAAAAAAGAAATCCAAATAGACATATAGTGCTTATGGTCTGAAGTAAAGCTGTTAACCGATCTCTTTCAAGCTTTGTTTCCCTTATAATTCACATTTAAAGGAACATTACAAAAAAGACTGAAACCACAGAACTAAATTTCAAAAGAAGTTGATCTATGAAAAGGAAGCAGACTTTCTTTGTATGCTGTGGTTCTTCAAATAAAAGATTAGTGGTATGGTTTAACACAGCTGTGGTTACTTCAATAATAATGAAATCAGTAAGAAGTACACACACCCCTGCAATTCCTACAAAAGGTAACAAAGCGTACAGATATACTTTCTTATTTGAATAAATTTGTCTTCAAAAAGAAAAAAAATTCCAGCAAGGACATTATGTTAAATCAAAATGGAAAGAACCTTACAACCAAGTTTAAACACAAGCAAAAGAGTCAGTATACAATTTGTGCTAAGTTTCATGGTACCTAAAGATTGAATAGAAAATGGGAAATAAGAAAATGATAGATAATATTACATTTATTTTAGAAAATACTTAAAATGTCACTTGATATTAGATCAACAATATCCACCTTACTCATCTTTTTTCTCAAAAAGAAAATTAACAATACTCCTACTCTGAAAGAGACTTCATAACAATGTGTCTGAGTCACGAAATACACCTTTCAGATTCTCACTGCTGTTCCTATTGAAATAGGGGGTTTCAGTATCTTGGATGGATTCTATAGGAGAAAACCTTATGAAAACCATGGAAAACAGGAGAGACTTAGTTGTTTCAAAGTTCTCCTTTACTTTGGGTTTATTTATTTAGTATGAAATAAAATGAACCAATGTCATATCCAGGAGAATCCTATTAACTTCATATTTCAAGGGCCTTCCATAAAAGAGAAGAGCTATCAGGATGTCCCATTGTCCTGGCTTATGTTTGACAACTGCTCTTAAATAATCTCCTGAAATACTCTGCTTTCTTCATTGATGTCAAATGTTTCCTCGGCATTTTCAATATCATTCCGAAAACATTGTTAACCTAGAGTCATCATGGATATATGTTTTACATAAGCTTTATGACCAGAGGAAACTACTAACAGTACTTTAATAGAACACAAATTTGGATTAAAATGCTGTTAAATTTTTAAAGATTGTCCTCTACAATGAGATTTCTTATTCATAGGTTATGTGTCTGTTAGGGTCTTGGTATGTGAGTTACATCCTCTCCCAAATCCCTGGTCTCTCAAATAAAACACCTTGAAAACAGTTCAAATTATTTTTCCAAAATAAACTACACTTAGTCTATCATCTTCCAACTTCATTGGTGCAACAGGCTTCTAATTTCCTATCAAAAGAGCTATCAGTGGTTTACTAAACGAAAAATACTGCAACAAAACACTTGGATTTCTCCAGGTTCAAACAAGAGGCAAAGCACAGTCAAATTCCAAAACAGGCATAAATACATCATATTTTGTGTTTAGTGAAATAAAATTAGTTCAATGAAGTAGACCAAGGGCACCCTAGAAAAGGAATAGACTTGAAATCAATTGATTGGTAGATTTTTTAGACATTTTTATTGAAGGATCTATGTGACTTGAGTAAATTAATAATCTCTTGAGCATCAGAAACCGTCCACACATTAATATGTGCTACCTGTTTAGGGTGTGCTGGTTTACCCTTATCAAATAAATATAACACATCTCACAGAAGAGGCATAGTATTTATAGTTGCAAAGTAGGATATATTTAATAGTTCAGGCTGAAATGTCTGTATTGTGGAAAGACTGGAGGCTGAAAATGACAATTCTTGCCCATTGGAAGATTTAATGGAAGGAACAGAGACAAAGAACTGTCTTACTCACTGCCATACTGACAAGCTAGTTTTACTGTTTTTAAACAGTGGCAGACCACTCATTACTTTTTGTTAGGATAAAATCCATAATGAAAATGAAACAGGGAAATAATATTCTTAATCAGAAAAAAATGTTAAATGGAGAAATTGTGCAGAAGGTGGGGGAATAGAGAAAATCTATTAACAGAATCTCATGATAAAACAAATCCCAAATTTCTCTATGCTTGGAAAGAAAGAAATGAGATAAGAAAACTGCTACAAAAAATACACTAAGTAAACACAAAGAAACTGTCTGCATTCTAACTACAGGGACAGATAGGTTTAGTTTCTGATCAAAACCTTCTGCTCAGGGTTTTTCTCAAGGCAACTTTGACATCTTTGTTCCTCAAACTGTAGATAAATGGGTTCAGCATGGGAACCGCAATGGTATAAAACACAGATGAGATTTTTCCCTCATCCATAGACCCAGCTGAAGAGGGTTTGAGATACATAAATGCACATGATCCAAAGAATAGAGAAACAGCAATAATGTGAGAACTACAGGTGCTGAAGGCTTTGGACCTGCCCTCAGTATACCTTATTTTGAGGATGCTAGAAAGGATGAAACCATATGAGATGAAGATGATGATAGTAGGCACAGTTATGTCTTTTCCTCCCACTATGAAAATCTCTACCTCATTGATATAGGTGTTGGTGCAAGAGAGTTGGAGTAAAGGGACAAGATCACAGAAAAAGTGATTGATGATGTTTCCATTGCAGAAGGTCAGTCTCAGGATGCACCCAGTGTGGATCATGGCATCACAAAATGCCATCAAGTAGGAACCAAGTACAAGGTAGGAACACACTTTAGGAGACATGGCAGTGTTACACAAAAGTGGATTGCAAATGGCCACATAGCGGTCATAGGCCATTGATGTCAGCACATAGCATTCAGAAATGACAAAAAAACAAAAAAAGTAGAGCTGTGTCATACAGCTCATGTAAGAGATAACATTCTTCCTTAACATAAAGTTCATCACCATTTTTGGTGTAACCACAGAAGAATAACAGAGGTCTATGAAAGACAAATTCAAAAGGAAAAAGTACATGGGAGTGTGAAGATGTGAATTCAATAAAATTAGAATTATTAAGCCCAAATTTCCCAATGCAGTGGTAACATATATTACAAGAAATAGGAAGAACAGGGGTATTTGAAGGTCAAACTGGTCTGTTAAGCCTAGCAGAATGAATTCAGTTACAAAAGAGCCATTCAAAAGAACCATTCTTCTGTGAGAGAATCTGTGGACACAGAAAAAAAAAGCATGACATGAGAGAATATTCCAGAATTTCCAATATTTATTTATCCATAAGCATGAGGGTTAGTGAGAATGTCTAAACTAACTAGTCTCAGCCAGAGAACCTGTCTTTTATACTTCTATTAGATGAAGTGACAATGCCTTCTTCTTCTTAGTGTCCTAAAATTAATACAGTAAAGACTATCAGGAACTTATCTTACTGTTCCATGTCCAGGGCTGTCATATAGATTCATGACCATTAGAAGGGAGAAGTGGCTGGAACAGTATAAGTTTGTTCTCATTTCATCATTTCCTCACTGTTTCATATCTTCCTTAAGTAGTAAAATTATAAATAGAATCCTGAGCCCCTGTTGTTGACCTCCAATGCAGATCAGTCAAGCTGGAAGTACAAACACTGTTTATAAACTAAAATAAAAGAAAGCTAGCCTAGAAATGGTTAAATTAGTGCAGAAAATGCACAAATAAGAGAGTGTGAGATTTGTCCATGGAGAGTTAACTTACTGATGAGGACATTGCAGCCCATGTGTCTACTGTCTTTCTTGACGTTCTTGGCTTTACTTTCAATGAGAGTCTCCTACCAAATTCACTTGAATATTAACATTTCTTCAAATTTAAAGAAAATGGCACCTTATACAGCCTTACACTTCATGTCAACATATGAGAACAATATGCTAAGCACAATAAGCAAGATGATAAAAGAGAAATACTACACGTCACTTCTATATGTGCAAACTAGAACATAAGCAAAGAGAAGGGAGTTGATTGGAAGAGCCAGTGGGAGACAAAAATCAGGTGATGTTGGTCAAAGGATGAAAAGGTTCATTTATGCAATGTGATTAAGTTTAGGACACTTAAAATAACAATGGTTAAAAATGCTGTACCTGGAATTTGCTAACAGGTTGCATCTTAAATTTATCTTCTAACTATTTTTATACACATATATCAAAGTACACTTGAGCTTAACTATGTACAAATGATGGATGTATTAATTAACTTCAATGTTAAGTCATGTCATAATGTATGTATTTGTCAGAACAACAAATTGTTTGTGATATATATACCATTTTACATGTTAATAATATATGAATGTGCTAAATAAAATGTAAGACATTAATATAAATAGATTTCACAACTTACCCTCCTTTGGAGGGAAAACTTTGGTGCTTCTTTATCAGTGTGATTTATATCTGTGGTCCAGCAGATAAGGCAATATGAAGATCTAAGAAGAGGTAGAACAAATTTAATAATTCATATTCCCTGGAAATTTTTCTGGGCTACTGGTCATATTTATAATCAGAACTTTAGTCTTCTAAAGCAACAGGAAAAAATAAACAGCCCATATAATTTCGTTTGTCACCTGATGAGACACCAGATGGTTTTTCATAAGTTTAATGACAAGCTTGGTTATAAGCAAGTTAGAATCTCTTTAAGTCTCTTCCCTGGCAACAAATTCCAGGTATTAAAAGAAAATGAGATGATTGCATTTACATAGTAGACCATGATGAGCCTTTTGTTCCTTAGGGATCAATATTTTACTCAGGTATTCTATTCTCTTTAGGGATTGTACTTCCTTCATACTTGAGGCAATATTGAATCCCCATCAGTTTAATCTCCTACAGGAAATCTATGTTGGATCTTTTGCACTTTTTTCCTAGATCTTTAAAGGAAATATTTTACAGAGGCTATGTCCATACTTCCTTTTCTCTTTATCTGAAATTTTCTTAGTAGTGCTACAACTTACTTCAGGAAAATTTTCACCTAAGATAGCTCCAAAATCACTTCTGTTGGGTTGCATTTCTACTGAAGTTTTATTTAATAGTTACTTCAAACTACTGCCTATATCCTGCTGAGTCCTGAATTGTAACACTTCAGGGATGAGGTCAGCAATGTATAAAATCCTTTAGAAAAGAACAGGGCTATAGATGATAGGGTCTGTGTTTGAATCCCCCCTATACTTTCTAATTATAATAACCTGGAGAAGTTACTTACATTTCTATGTGTCACTACCTTTGTAAAAATGGAATGATAAAACTCATTAATTTTTTGAACTATCCTATCGCTACATGAAAAACAATAAAAAGATGGTTTGAGTAATGGACTATATATAGGGAATAGTCTAATGACAGCTGAAAACACAGGTGCTCTGTAATGTATGAAAGGATCATGTAAATTATTCATGGTAAATTGAAAATGCACTTATTATACCTAACCTACAAAATGTTATATATTATTGTAGGCTACCTTACATGTGCTCACAGTATCTTACATAAACCTATAGTTGGTCATATAAAATATTCAGACCACTTTATACCCACTAAGGATAAGTTCATAGTCAAAGTACTTTCTATTAAATATGTGTTATTTTCACACTGTGATAAAATGAAATAAGTTGAATCACTGTGTTTTTCAGACCACCTATAGTTGTTCTGATCATTTATGGTGCATGTTCCATTATGAAAATCAAGAGAAGTTTATCACTTTTTAATTCATGTGTCCCACTGTAAGGTATGAATTCTAAATTTATATTTCTTTGTAAATGGTGCATAGTTCACAACATACATTGCTCTGTCTTGCCTATTACTTTGTTCCTGGTGGCAAGTACTGTACAGACTACATCAGGGATATTCATTAAATCTTCTAGAAATCAAATTATTCTCTATCTAAAGGCGTCTGAACTCTTCCCTCATTTCTCACATGATGAATAATAGGGTATGCATTACTATGACTTTCATCTGTTTCCCTAGCCCTCATACAAGATCAAGTCCTTTCAAGTTTTACTTAAGTTTGATACCATATTGTAATGGTTCTTAATTGATATTTTATTATTTGGTTACATTCGCTACTGTTTTAGTGATCTACATGGTGCTAGATTAAGGTCTGAACACATGGTCTTCTTCTTCCATAACTCCAGAACTTTTGGAAGAATGGCATCAGTATAGTTGCAGTATATAAGCTCTGTCTTCAATATCCACACAGATGATTGAACTAGCACCTACTCACAGAGAACAATACTCACAGTGTATCTTTACACTGATGGTTGATGTTGGCTAACTCAATTCTATGTCTGAGGAGAGTTTAAAGATTGCTGGTGATTCTACCAGTCTCTTACTGAAGAAGACAGAAGCTCTGCCCCTCAGAAGGTAAAATGTCCCCTCACTGTGTAAGATATGTAAATGGAAAAATCAGCCCTGTTGAAAATATTTAAGAAATGGGGAAGGAGGGATAAAAAAGAATGATGGAAAGGATGAATTCCACTATGGTATACTGTAAGAACTAGTTTAAATGTCACAATATACCCCCAGTACAATAAAAATTTTATTACATTATCTTATGAAAAAAATTCAAGTTCATGGTTTGTATAGCCAAGCCTTGGTGAAGAACCACTCCCTTCATTTTGTGATCACCTTAATTAATACTGAAATTTCCCAATGGTAGACTATGCCAAACTTATGGCAAAAATTCTATATTAGTCTCCATCAGATATGATAATAAACTTCATATTTAGAGTAAATTTGCCTATAAGACCATTTGGAATTTATCTTGTGTAGGACATAACTCCCAGCAGATGGCATTATGAAAATTACCTGTATTTCTTTCAGTGACTGTTACTTACTTGCATTAGTGACTTATAGATACTGTCACAAATTTCTACCTCCTTAACTGTTACAAGATGATTAAGTGATATTTATGTATGCCTCTGCCTATCTAAATGTCTTTGCATGTGTTTATTTAAAGGTGTAAATAATTTAATCAATATGCATTTTCCTACTGAATTCAAAAGTACTTCCTACTAAGCCCTGTCTCTATGGTGATGAGAGCAGAAAACGTGCCTGAAAGAGTTTGCACAGTAGAGAAGTAGTGCCCCTTCTCATATAATTAATGTTAAGTAATCATGTCATGAAACACAAGAGTGGAAGTCTCTCTCTCTCTCTCTCTCTCTCTCTGTGTGTGTGTGTGTGTGTGTGTGTGTGTGTGCGTGTGTGTGTATGTGTTTGTCAGTGAAATTTAGGGTAAATAGGTGTGGAGAGAGGTTTAATGAAGACTAGGGGTTGAGGAAATAAGATACAGAACTCAAAGCATCCTGTTAACTTTAGATTTCATTTGCCTTCAATCAGAGAGTACATGGTGATGGTCATTCCAAAACTAATTTTGAGCAACAATAGCAACCTGCTTACAGAAACTTTCCGTTAAACAAATTTCTGCTATAATCAGAAAACTTTCTTTCCCAACCACTAGAATTATGTTTCCTGTCATAATTTCTTTAGTAACATTCACAAAACAAAAGAAAACAAAACAAAAATTGGGTAATTCTATGTAGCATATGTAACCATCCAGATTTAGTTACACTCCTTTATAATAAAAAAAGTAGTCTTTTGTAACTAACAAAATCAACTAAATTACCTCATTTCTTATTTTGCTACCCTGAATTTTTATATAGTGCTTTTAATTTTTAAATGAATTTTACAAATAGAATAAAAGTATGACTAAAATCTAAAAGAAGTTGAATTTTTCTGAGGAGGAAACAATTTTATTTATATTTTGAACATCTTCAAATGAAAGATTAGTAATCGGGTTTAGTGCACACTTGGCCACTTCAATTAGTTATGAAATTTACAAGTGGACCTAACTCTTTATTACCTACAAAAAGTACCAAATATACAGTATAAGCATGATTTTTTATTGGAATAAAATTTTATTCAGTAAGAAAAAACATTTTACCAAAAGAGACAACATAAAAAAGCAAAAATTAAAAAGAGATTTAACTGATGTTATCTGTTTTATATAAGTAGAATTCATTTAGTAAAAATCGTTCATGTTGATTTTGGAGCTATTGGCTACAGAAGGAGTGAATATTTCAAATCATATAAAGCATTTAGTAATTGTGTACATCTGAAGTCAAGTGAACAAACAACTATTTTATGCTATGTTTTGCAGTACCTGAACATTGATTGGCAAGTAGGGAAATGCACAAATAGTATATATTATTACTCTAG